TGACAATTAGAATATTGAAAGATAAATAGGTATCCAAAACATACCGAATACCAAACTATATTTACCGCCTTTTCTGCCGCACGAACCTCTTCAAGCCGTGTCAGGCGTGATTGGGCCGGCTGAGTCATAAGTGCAGGCAGCGGAGCTCCTACTGATGCTGCAATGTAGTCCGTAGGAGCCATAAAATAATTGGAAACATTCCGTCGATGCTCTGACTGGATTGGAGGCTGAAACAAGGTACCACTGGTTGAATTTGACGAAAAGACGTGCGACATAGACATTTTCTCCGGGCTTGGACTATCAGAGGTAGTGGCCACAGAGAGAGCTACGCTCGGAGCTGAAGCGACTTTAGACGGGGTAGTTGTTGAAGGGGTAAATAGAACAGGATGACGCAAAGTACGAGGAGTGGATTGACCTATATTGTTCATTAAGACACAGAGACGTATGGAACAAGACAGACCGCGTCGTGTAGGGGTTTTAGGCGCTTCAGTATGGGTGCCAACTTTGCAGACATGACTGGCATCCGCGAGGAACTTGCTAAAGCAGCAGTGCCGGCATAAAAAGTGAGTACAGGTCAAATTGCGTTGACCTCCACAAAAGCAAGGGACACTAGTTTCTGGCTTTAAAAATGGTCAGACGATTCTGTAATGGTGTAGTGAAAGAACCTTGGGGTTTTGAAGATAGGTGTCAAGCCAAAGTCTGTCACATTTCGCATTGAGTGCAGCATCAGTCAACCAGGAAGCAGTGGAGCGCTCGTCGTATGCGCGAGAACACTGACCAGGTTCAAATCGTTAGCATCACATGCAAATAATTGAGAGACAAAAAATCCGACCTTGGTCAGATATTGGTCCTTGTACGTGTCGGAATATGTCCCATGTATCTTGATAGAGAATAGAATGGTCCCCTTCTGGCAAAGGCTACATACAGTTCCTGTGGGAGGAGGCGGACCTGGCTTAAAAACCGTCATAAGAGAAGGAGGAAAGGGGAGGAAAGAGAAAAAATTTACGAGATGTAACACATAACTTGGGGACACTGCAGAAAAGCCTTCAGGCATGAGTGTGAATATTGAATCGAGAGGATGAGGTTATAACTGCAGGAGGATATCAATAATAAACTGGAGTTACAGAACATTCTTACCTGAAGTGTTAAGTGAGTGACACTGGAGTGATATTGGCTGAAGCCTCAAGGCCCAGAGTTATTGTACCACCAGGTATAAGCAGAAATAAACTCCAGTAAGAAATACAAGCATACTGGAGGGTTATTGATATTGAGCCTTTAGTCTCATTCAAAAAAGTACTCTAGGTTCAAGTCAAATTGGCCCACAGGCAAGTAGCCTGAAATGCCTGGAGGTGCAAATAAATTGCCTGCAGGGCATATGAAGGTACACCTGGAGGCATGAAGGCGGATGGACCTCCAGGACCAATGGGAAATCCCTCCAGGCTCAAAACATGTGGGACTGAAGGGTCAATCAATTGGGTAACTGTTCCGTCTTGAGACGAAACCTTGTACAGTAACAGGATCGGTCTCGAAATTCGGGACTGAGTCACAGCGTGACAAGAATCAAATCCTTCTTCCGTTGCTCTTCCACTGCGCATCGCGACTTCGTCCTTAATCGACTCTCTCAACCACCAGACACCGTACTCGGCGTTCATGCTCTACGATCTCGGTGTGTTCCACCAGCAGCGGTGTCCCGTTAGTATTGACTTCCCACTCAGACCAATAGCAGTTCCTGTCGGCGCTGGCGCATATATATGTGCCCTGACCCTTCGAATGAGGGACTCTGAAGGATTGAATGATAGGTCATTTGGTCCGTCCTCTTATATCCGTGAATTATGTCCTTCTTCCGTCCTGACATCTTCTTCGCAGACGTCTGCTAACGGTAGCTCTGGCTGAAACGCTGCAAAAAATACCAGCTCCGGTAATTTCTAAACGGCCTATCTCTCCCGCTTGTATCGACGACGCACAGCCTCTATCACGACCACACCACAGATGTGGGAGAAGAAACTGGGCCTATGGGATACAAAGCGCCTCAGAACTGTGCCTCCTTGGTACGTGCTGGGCCTTTACTCTGACCCACATTTATTCATCTTTCCCCAGCAATAGACTTCGACAAGACGGCTTTGCAGCAAGCGTATCTTGTTTCTCCATCATCCCCCCCAGGCGTCAAATAACCCTTCCTCAACTCATTTCGTCCTCATACTGGTTCCCCTCCTTGCATCGCATCGCCGAAGTCATTTCCCGCTGCTATTTACTCTGGTCCAAAACACCCTTCACCATTTCCACCCCATGAACGACATTCTCAGCTGTTTTCTCGCTTACTTATTCATTTACCAAGACCATCCATTCTCGCTAAAGCCTCTTCAGCGGTAGCGACCGCCCCAGCGACGCTTCGCATCGGCTTCTTCCCTCCTCCGTCACTACCCGTCACAGTCACGCTGTCGACCAAAAACCTTTTCCCTCTGCCCATGTGCGACGTGGGACACCATCGATTGTGTTTTGTGCTACAGCACCACCTCATCTCGATGCCAAATTCTTTCCAGACGCCTCCAGCAATGGGAAGACTCTCGTTGACACGGTCCGAAGATATTACTTGGGCCAGAATCGACTTGACGTTCGCGACCAGCGACTATCAACGAAATAACATGTGTCCCGCTACACTCGAACTTCGTTGGGTGACGGTTACCAATCGTCATTACTCTACTGTAGCCTTCTTCGAAGCTGTCCACTACTTGTATTTGCGCTCCACGCTCCGATGTCGAGTCGCAAATGACATCACTCTCCGCTCGTCTTAAATAGCGACCCCCCACATCTACCCCACCCATACAACTTGAACATGACCTCGAATACCAACGTCGACAGAGAGTACAAACGTAGGTCTCCCTTCTTTTCGTGCCATTCTTGTCTTGAATGTTGTCTACAGAGAGAGCCGACCTGTATGCCCACGGGAACAACGCAGACACGTTTGGCACCTCCGGCACAGACGAATCACCACTCGACCGTTCTGCGAATGGCGGTATAACTGGGCCCGACTTCGACCGCGAGACGGACCCGTCGAACAGGACGGTGTTCCAGGGCGAGCCGACCTCATCTGCAAGCTTGAGAGGTCGGTAGCTCGTTGCTTGTTTCTTTTCCCTCAGTTACTGATATGGTGACGTCGCAGGTGGATCGGAGAAACTGGCGGCAAAGCATGTGGGGTTGCAGGACCGCGGCGAACGACGGATGCTCGAGGAAACACTGGAGCAGGATCGGACGGGCCCAGACTCGGTGCGCAATAAACAGGGAAAGTAGGCTATACGGCAGTCATACATGTATCATAATGAACTGGTCTCGCTCAGTGCTAGTGTATGCTTTCGGTGTATATGCGGACCGTGTTCTAACTATGCAGCCTATGCTACTTTTATATTGCGAGTAAAATGTCTCGTCATAGGACATTGCCACGCTTTCTTTACTCCGCGTTGCTTGAGTCAAGTTTTGCTTCGGGCTCAATCTGAGCGTAGAGCAGAGACGCCATCCTTCCAGGTCTTCAAAAGAGGCGGTGCGAGGTTCCGGTTATACATAGTCGCCCTCGTCTTGTAGAGTAGACCAGTTATGAGGAGCGAAAAGCGCATTTGGTCATTTGCGAGCGACCTGCACGAACGAGCCCGCCGCCGACCTTTCCAAGGATAACCCAGCTTGACACTGATGTTTCGCCATAGAGTGGTGCCAGGCCAGATGTAGATCGTGTCGAGGGAATCATATCTATCGGGATGAAGACTCGAAAGTTGCCCTCCTTGACAGTGGGACGTGACTGCGGCACGAAGGACGATGAAAAGCGGGATTTCGCGTGAGGAGAAGCTCAGAGAGCCTTGTGGCGGTTGGATTGTGATATGGGGAAGAAAGGGGAGCATGCCGACCCAGTTGACGGCCTGTGGCGAGGGTTGTTGATGGGCACAATGGGCGGAAGGGGAATCATCCTGGGCCAGACTTGTAACATCTCTTTTCTTTGTGTGCCAGGGTAAGGCGAGAATTACTGGTGGTCCAAATCCCCTCACTTGTACTGCAGCGGCGGGAAATCGAGGCCCAAATTAAGTGAGAAGTAAGCAGATTCTAGGAATTGGAATCAGCTGGAGGCAGGAGAAACGAAACAGGGTAGTTACCAGGAGGACCCAGCGTATTCAAGAGAGCGACAATGGCCGATAGCGACAACACGGGAGCTAGATGGCGTTGTTTTCCCCGAACTAGAGTATTTCAAAAAAATCTCGAAGTCGAAGCAAGAAATGGGCTGATAATCTGCGTGGCATGTATACGACCACCGAAAAGCAATTCCGGTGGCCATACGATGACCAGGCCGAGAGAAAATTGGGCTTGAAGCCTAAAACGACATTCACAGCGATAACGTGGTCCCCCGGAGTGCAACGGAGCTGATATGGCAGGTGTGAGCCGTGTAATAGGTGGCTGAGAAGAATGTGGCGCAACGGATGTGTATTCTGCAGCGCACATGCCGCAGGACGAGGGCAGTCAAAAGGCCGCCTGTCACGGTCACGGGACGTGTGACACCGCGTGAGGACATTTTCTCGGGTCTGCGAATCTGCGACTGTGTCAGAAAGAGTAAGAGATGCAGCGAGAGTAGCATACCGGGGCAATATACATGAGAGTGTAGAGCACAGCAGCGTTCCCCGCCGGCGAGATTTGGATGTGTTTTCCTTGCCAGCTGCAAGTCGCCACCGACAGAGCTCCAGTATCAGACGCTGGGCATGTGGATTGCCGCTGGCTCAGAGTGGACGTTGTTCGGTTGGGAAAAAGTGGACAACCGGAAATGCAGACGCAGAATGAGCCCAACCAGAGCCACGCCGCCCTCTCCCATAGCGCAGCGAATGAGACAATCGTGGTAGCATGGCTTGAATTATGGATGCAGTCTGGGAAAGACGCCAGTCTCGCTCGGCGCCAGCCAGAAACGCATTCGAAGACACCTGTTAGTGATGCAGTCTGGAACGGCAGAGAGTTTTGACTTGAGGGGGAAGTTAAGAGTGTGCCTGACGTATCATGAGGGGCCAAAAGGTCATTGTGCGCTGTGGGCGGGCATCCGGTGGTGTGAGGAAGGGGGATTCGGAAAATTCAACGGTGCTGCGGGCCTGCATGGTTGTTTGTCCGAGATAATAAGAGTGTATGGATCCTCACCCTTGATGTGCTGTCGCTCTCGTTCCAACTTCCGAGTCGTTCGTCACTAACCGCAACAGGGAACCCGAGGGTAGCGGCAGGAAGCAATGCACGATAATTCGGTTCACAGTGGTCCCTCTCGTCCTCGCAACGTTCGCAGACTGGGGAGAGGTGAGCTAAACGAGGCAGAGGGGAGGAAGAGGACACACTAATGATATTGCCCAAGGTCGTTGCTTTGGCCGGGCTCTTTGCTCCTCTCTCCAATTCCGACTCAATGGCGAAGTCACTCTCCCCGCGGCAGCTCTCCACTACTGGGTTCATCGGGGTCGGACTCGGCCCTCTAGCGCGTTGGGGTTGATTGTGATGTGGACCGATTTTCATTGAAGTCCGACCACTCGTCAGTTGTGGCGAAAAGAGTCGGGACCGAGGCGTCGTAGGACCCATCGACATGCCAGTGGACGATACATCTCCCAAGTATTTCCAACGCTATTCGGCTGCATTGTTTTCGGGAGGAAGAAAAGGACAGTCGTGGTTGAAGACAAGCAGTGTCGTTACTTACGTCACTCCGATGCTCTTACGGGCCGTTTTCATGATCACTTTTTGCCCCCTTCAACGACAATGAGGAAATACGAGACCCGCACAAGGGCCTGGGGGCCTGGAGAATCACATCATGTGGATCGATGCACTTTTTGGGCCAATGGCACTAGAGAACTGGGAACATTGTTCTGTGTTATCAACTTGCGACGTGCCGAAACCGACCCTCGAATTATTGTAACAGCTCTGATCGCACGATCGCAATACGGAGTAGGTACTTAGATCCCACACCTCAAACTTGAACCCGTTAAGTCAAACGAATCCCACAACAATGTTTCCTCGTCTCATTTCAACTCTCTGGACTCCCATATTCTCCGCGTTGGATGGCCGTTTGGCATCGATACCTTGAGGCCCAGCCTTCTCTCAAGATGCTCCAAGTCGCGGAGATCCCCTGGTAGAATCCCATACGGCGCAAACTCAACGATGAAGCGGGCGAGCTTCATCTCGCTCCGTGCGCCAGCGACAAGCGCGTTGGCAGCGCGCATCGCAAGCCCGTCCAAGAAGGGCCAGATGTTGACGGGGCCCGACTCGGAACCTGGGATAACAAGGGTGAAGGATTCAAGGGCGGGAAGAATGCGGAGTTGGCCGAGTTCCGCAGCACATTTCCGCGCCTCGTCAGTTTTCATGTCGAATAGTGTCACCGTTAGAGATTTGAGCTGCTGGGCCACAAGTGAGCTAAGAAGACTGCTGAACGCATCATAGGTTGTCGGTGTCGCCAGAGTTAGAGAGGTGACATCCGCGGCATAGCGCTGTATGCAGGGGTCAATGGCGAACTCGATGCTGGAATTATCGAGCTCAGAAATATGAAGTGTTGTCAAGGCGGGCAAGAGGAGATGGTGGAGGATGGACGAGCTGTCATCTCCAAACAACGACAAGATCGACAGGCGTGGCATGTGTATTGTAGATGCTACGTCCATCTCTCGGTACAGTCCAGGGAGTGACAGCTCTTCCAAGGTTGTCAACCCAGCAAGGAGAGAAAGTGTATCGCGGTATGTTGCCGCACGCAGCATCGTGAGTTTCCGCAAGTGATGTGCGGGGAATGAAAGTGGTAATGGAAAGCTGTGAGTGCTGATAGAAAGCTCCTCAAGCAGTGGAGCATTCATGTGGACAGGGCGTTCGTTTGGTCCTATGGGGCTCCAGACATCGAAAGTGAATTTGGTCAGCCGAGGGAAGTCAATGGCACCTGAGCCGACAGGCCAGTCATAGGGCCATTTGTTGCTTGACAGAGATGCATGTTCCCATTGTGGAGCAGAAACAAATATGCACTCAGGGAGCGTATATCCGCTGAAGCTTGTCTTGTTTGGAATCGAGAACGCCACTGGAAGTCCTTGCGTGCGTTGCAAGAAGTGCTCGGCAAGCCGATCGCGCCTGTCGCCATCGACGAAGTAGGACGGATGCGTCCACAAGTGTGGGTCCGCGATGGCAGTGCGCCGCCATTGTTGACAAACTGCGGTAATTTGCAAAAGTAGGCGATTGATTTCGAGGGAAGGCGTAGACGACACCGCTGCCGCGAATATGTGACAGAGAATTTCGGCAGGGAGCGTGCTAATAGGGTAAACCACGGTGCTGAGGTCGTCTTGCAGCACTTCGAGACGATCTTCGAGCATTTGTAGCTGGGTTTTAAGCTCATCAATTGCATTCTTGACCCGTTCTGCCTCTTCTCTGAGCTTCAAAATGGCGGCATTGCTGAGAGGAGGGTCGCGTTGGGGACCTCCACGAAGGAGAGAGAGAGAATGGGCGGCATCGCTGTAGTCGTAGTCTTCGTACATGTCCGTCGCGCGTTACAGCTGTCACAGCCACCAATGAATCTCTTCTTCTGCGACTTCCACCACAAGTACGATTAATCTGGCCCCTTGTCTCAACGGGCTGAGCTCCCCATACCGTACTAGGGCGGCGCCGGGCGGAATCACTTGCTAAGGAACAACTTGAATGGGCTGGTATGTGTTTCAGCGAATGCCGCATGCACTCATTCTCCGATTCCAGCAGCACTTTCCTCGCTGTACAACAGAAGAATACGTATAACTCGTGCTATAAAAGGCGATAGGCGACCCGTTTTTCAAGTGGGAAGGGGTGCTGGGACGGGGCATGATGTGGTAGTCAGCCACAGCGTTTCTTCGCTGTTGCTTGGTGCGTCCAGAAAGAATTCTTCCAAAAGGCTTCCTCAACCGACAGTTTATCCAGGGCTCCTGCGTGGTCTCTAGACAGACCCGAACACCGGGAACCGACTGCAAGCAGTGCTTCACCATCGCTCGACTATCAACAGTTTTTCTGCTTTGCCTCTTGTCGGGCCAGCAGGAAGGCATACAACTATTTTCATACCGCTATTCCTCCCAACCTTTTTCCCCACTGGCTGTGCCGTGTGCCGTGTCATTGCTGGTCAAGCCACCCATCCTCTCGACGCTATCCTTCCCTCGATACATCTCCTCTCCTCCTCGACACGCGCCAATTCTAGCCCAACAGCCTCGTTATTCAGAACACCGTGCTTTCCGCTCAAGCACCTCCCCACCTCGTGCCTCTCCCAGCGCCAGCGTCCTTCCATTCAAATACGAGCCCCTCATAATATTTGCGACGGAATATCGCCGCTGACTGTCCTCGCACTCATGACCTATATAATGCTGGGTAACCACAGGGTTAAAAAAACACCACCATACCCCGCCCTCTCCAGCATTGCAGGTTGTCGGCTCATACTCCGAGGAGCTTTTCCCGTCCTTTCCCGTCCTCTCGCCTCCCTATGTCCTAGTCATTAACCAGCGCCATATACTATTCACCAAAACCATATACTATCGCCAAATTGTTTCCAGCGCCATCGACTACACCAGCGACACCCGCCCTTCTCTTCCACCGTCACTCCTCGTCACAGTCACGCTGTCGATTAAAAACCTTTTCGCTCTGCGCATGTGCGATTTGGGACACTATCGATCGTATTTCGTGCTGCCGCACAACCTCATCTCAATGCCAAATTCTTTGCAGACGCCTCCGACAATGGAAAGACTCTCGTTGACACGGTCTCCGCCGAAGATACCTATTACTTAGTCCAGAATCGACTCAACATTCGCTCCAGACGACCACGCATGAAATAACAAGTCCTCCATGCTATTTTTACACGCGAATCTGTCTTCAAGCGCATTTTTGGAATGATCAAGTCTCGGTGCTTGTCTTTGACGCTCGTCCGGGGAACCTTTTTATGTCAAGCGCGTTTTTCGCCATGGCATGGCCCATCTAGGCCTCATCAACGATGGAATTCCTCTCTTCCTCCCAACGCTCTTTCTTCAATGCATTTTTGGCCCGTCATACCTACACTCACGATACTGTATGTACTTTCCATGATTTCCTACTATAATAATGCATGTACTTGTCCATTCGACTTCTATTCGTGTTTCCATGTCCTTTCCGCTGATGAATAACTAGCAAAGGAGGGAAATATTCGATGCCCACAATCCTAGGCATCGTGCTGGCTACCGGATGACACATCGATCGATCGTTTTGCTTCCTGCCTCCGCCTTCCATTGTCGGTCCTTCAAACTCCCGCAATAACTGTTGCTTTCTTCCGGTGAGAGTCATAGGCTGGAGGGTCAAGTCTTACACAGTCTCACGCAGCATCAATGGCAGGTCTTCCCCCCAAAACGAGTCAATATGTCGCCCGAAGATTCAAACGCGTACTTCACATCGATGCTCCTGCCCAGCACCGAAGACATGGACTCGCTGCTCAATAGCCTACGCGCTAATGCCTACCCATCCGATACCGAGGCCCATCGACTGCGCATGGCCATTGCTGCCCTCCAGCCAGAAGTCGATAAATATGATCAAGAGATTGACAGAGTCCAAGCCATCCTCGAGGGCCTGCGGAGCGAGCGGAGCCGCATCCAGTCATACTCGGCTGCTGTGGCGAGTCTGATGTCCCCCATCCGCGCCTTGCCTTCTGAGCTTTTGCTCCCGATCTTGAAGCACTGTGTCGACTTCGTGCCGAAGCCAGAATATCGCAACGAGGTCTATATCGCCAACATGTTGCAGATATCCTGGCGGATCCTCTCAAAAGTCTGCTATCACTGGTACATCACCATTGCCGACTCACCGCTGATCTGGTCTGTGGTGAACATGGACCACTCGCATTCCTTTATCACTTTTCGCTCAATGGGAGTCAGAAATCAACTCATGGAGCTGGTGTTGAAAGCGGCAAAAGAGACGCCGCTGACGCTTACTTTTGTGCCAGCACATGACAGTTACTGGTCCAGCTCCAACAATGCCCAGGGAGCGGTGCCACAGGCCGGCGATGCAGATATGAAGAGGATATGCGCAGAGTCAACGCGGTGGAGGTCCCTTAAACTCACACTCGACTGCAGAACCTTGTGGCAGTTTGGCGTCAAGCCTCATATTCAGGGTTGGTTACCCATCTTGGAGGACCTAGAGCTAGCAGCGCAGTCTGTATCAAGCCCGAAGCGACCGGAGGTGGTGGACTTCTGGGCAGCGTGTACCCTGTTCGAAGAGGTGCCGGCGCTGAGGAGGTTCACCTTCCAAGATGTACCTCCATCTGTTCCGTGGGCCCAGCTTGTGTATGTCCACTTCAAGCTGGCCAATCGTACGCCTTATCTCGACCCACCCGACAAAGGACCCTTGTACTCCGTATTGTCATTCATTGAGCACTGCTCCGAATACTGCACGGTCGTCTTGTCAGACCTCGAAGAGCGATATGACCCAGCGTTCAAGCACTGGCCAACGCAGCCGATTCTCCGGTCTCAGATCCGGGCGTTGCAGCTCACCACACAACTCAGGGACAGGCATCTTCGTCCGCGAACAGTAGAACTCATCACCCGGCTGTTACAAGTGCTGGACCTGCCCTCTGTCCAGGAGTTGTACATTGACGGGTCACCTGCGAGGCCACCATCGCTTTGGAAGACGGCCGTCTTTTCCGCATTTGTTGCGCGCTCTCCCAAGCTTACTTCGCTAAGCTTGCTCAAGGTGTTGCTAACTCCCACGGACCTGCTCGACGCACTGCAGCAGACCCCGTGTCTAACAGAGCTTACTATCGGGGACATCGTCGTGTCTGAAGGCATATTCAGCTTCGCGCTGAATGACGGGGCCCTACACGCGCTGTCTTGCGCCCCATATATCGTGCCCAACCTCGCCTACCTTGGGCTCACGTCATATTTCCAGTTCTCTGAGGCGCTCCTGGCCGCTTTTCTTGCACTGCGCGCCGAGCACAATCGTACTAGCGGACATAGGAAGGCCGGGACCAGCCACCCGTTCGTCTTCCGCGCGGAGCTGTGCACTCCCAGTGAGAAGGACAGCACAGGCAGCAAGCTTGCGAATGGCACAAATATCGAGTGGGTTCAAAAGGATATCGACGGAATTTCGAGGCTTCTAATGGGGTCTGCATGGCGGCAGGGGCTGCGGTTCACAATGGATGGACAGTATGATTCTGGGTGTAAGTAGTTGGGAGGTAGGACATGGAGGAGCAGAGAGAACAAGTAAAGTAAGCCATTAGAAGCAACATTAACAATGAAAAGACAAGTGTTGGGGAAAGAAGCAATGGAGAAATGGGAGCAAAATGTCTCAAATGAGATAAAATATTCATAGTAGCGCAAAGAAGATACTGTAGAATATCAGTATAGCATGAAGGTAGACGGGGTCTAGCTGGGAATGGAAGGTTCAGAATGACTGTAAAACAGCAGTATCCACTACAAAGGTGAATGAAAGACATGCAGCGCACATTTCGACACCACCAGCTGAGTCCAGCTCCAGCGGTGCACCAATGATGTCCCGCAACAGAAAAGCGTCGAAAGATGGCTTTTGAGGTCGAATCAAGGGGCGAAAGAGCATAACAACATTGGCTCTGTGTGCGACAGAGAGAGATCCACTTGATACTGCAATACTTCGAAGCGTTTGGCTGGAAGCCCGCACGTGACTTTCCATTTCAGGACAGACAAGATGGGGAATGGATTGGGTGGCGGATCGGCCGTTGGTGGGCGTGGAGACGAAGGAAACCATTAGGCGGAGCTAGATAGTAGTCATAGAAAGTCCGAAAGCCCGCTTTTAGAGACTGTGGCCTCCATCCAAGAGGACTCGCGACTTCCGGATACAGGCGACTGTTGCGAAGTTTGTCGCGTCGTCTGCGTGGCAACGTAAAAAGAAAGGATGGAGGAGCCACCGTGTTATCCGGAAGAAGAGCTGGGTATGTGTCAGGATATGTTGGGAAGGTAAAGTGCATTCACGCACTAGTATTCTGGCAAATTTCGATTTCAGCGACAAAATAGCCTTGTGAATAGCAAGCGAGGGTTTAAGAGCATTAAGATGTCTAAATGACAAGGATAGACGGCGACCATAAGTCAAGCGAAAGAAAAGGTAAGCGCCACACACCCAAAACCCAAATAGTCTCTTCATCCTGCGTCAAATGCGCGTGTGGAGGTGTGGAGGTTGGAGCTCAATGTCGGGCTCTGACCGAAGCGCAATTCGGCTATCCACGCGAAAGCTCTTTCAGAGGCAGTCTTCTGAGTTCTCCCATTTCCCAGTGACAATGTTGTGGTTTTGAGCTGGATAGGTCCATCTCCGGGATTTGTGGTTGCTCATTAGTCCAAACACCAGCCTTGCATTGGGTATTAGGCAAAACAAGGAGGTACTCCGAATGGCGCCGAGTTTGTTAACGATTGGAGTGGCACGTTATGATGACCTGCGAGGATGAATGAAGCATCCTGAGCTAGAATGCCTCTGTTGCCCTGAGGCAGATAATAATCATAATTATTACATGTGTCGTTGTGGGTGGAGGAAGAATTCGAGAGGAAGGACCGTGGAGAATCGACGTGGGCAATCTGTGAACTTCCGAAATGGGACCATCTGAAAAATCTGCTCGGAAACTATTCGTGACGAGCACTGCGTAGACGCACCGTCTATCCAGTGCAGTAATAACAACAGCGGTCTGTCGTTTTGCTGCCTACGCGTTGAGGAGTGTGGCAGTTCATGGCGGCAACGACAAGGCTCACGAGGATCTGAAGGTGGAGAAAGTCAGCCCAGAGCACCACGAGAAAATGTGGTTTCGCGCACCAGTCACCAGGACACTTGTCGTGTTACACCTCCGCTTCCCTTTGGGACTGTCCATCCAGGAGCCCTATTGTACCGACACCAGTTGGGAGCTTCAAGGCCGACTCTGCAGATGACAAGAGCGGGTAAGCATGGTGAATCCGGAGCTCGTGCTGCTGCACAAGGAACGGATTCACTCACCGAGAACAGTCTAACGACACTCAATGCTCTACGCTCCCAACATTTCAATCGACAGCAACGCGGACTTCGTGCCTTAGGCGACTGACGACGTTGCATGCGTATCTGCGCCTTTTGCGACAGTGGCAATTGCAAAGTGGTGGGCGAACGATGGGCGAAAGACAAGAGGAAGAAGTGGCTGTGCACACACGTCGCTCAGGTTAATCCGACCCACTACAATCCAGCATGCATCCACTCGTTCACCAGCAAATCAAGCGCCTCTACGAGCTGCCAAGCACCCTCAGAGTAAGCCAGGTTTATGCCTTTCAAATCTGTGATGGCTCACAAATCAAGTAGGAAATTGCACTTGCCGCCACCCGTCCCGACTGCACCGACTTTGAATACCGGAAGTTCACCCATCGCTTTGTGACCGTGAACGACGACGGCATTCGGGCTGCTCTTTCCGCCGTTTTCTTTGCCGTTCTGGATCCTACACGTATACCACCTGCCGCCGAGCTCGAGACACTTTCGCAGACTACAAAGGCCTGCATCGGAAGGGCATTGATAGTTCTACACGGCCTGTTCATGTCAGCCACCGAGGAAGAGCTCCCTGGCGAAATAGTTGAACTTTGTACCCTCGTCATCGAATGGGTGGAGTTCATCCACAAGTTCCACGACCATCTGCTGGCGGACGACATGCTCAGAAGCATAATTAACGTGAAGAGTGACCTCTCTCGTTCACAGCTGCTCGTTTCCTTCCTGCGATTTGGTCGTCTGGTGGAAAGCAAATGGATGAAGGACAACCTAACGGATCATAGTGACGAGCGGACCAACGAGCTTTGGACAACACCTACCTTCCTCTCTCTCCTCATCAGTGCCTGGTCCCAGGGCGTCCGAGCCACGCCCGATGCCGACATCGATTTCGTCCTTAACTGCATACTCCTGTCTCCACAATCCATTGACTCGCCTACGCAACTCGACATACTTATTGGCGCTGCTGGTGGCACGGTGGACAGTCTCGTTCGCCTCATCAAGGCCCACATAGAGTTCATATGGGACAACTTCCCGCTTATCCGCACCCACACGCCCAGTCTTGTGATTGCCCTGTCTCATCCTTTGCTATTGCTCGTCCGCGCAAACACCGTGATGATGCAACGCGACCCGCTCCGCCGAAATATTGGAGACGAGCTACTCGCACATGGGTTTATGTCACACGTCCTTCGAATATTGAGCACCGTCATGGACTTACAACGGGATAGCGACTCGCAATCACAGTCTGCCAGTGTTCCGATACAGACACTCTGCACAGTGGTCGACGTGACGAATATTATCATATCTACCGGTCCGCGCGCGCTGCGTCTAGCACTCCGCCTCAACGCTCTTCCTCTTATCCTCGAAACCGCGCGTTTCCTTCCGGATGAGCTGCTGCTAGGAAGTTTGACGAGATTCTTGGGTAGTCAAGTACCCGTCGGTCTACTGTACCGATCCACGCTCCCCCTCATCAGCGCGTCTCTGGATGCGATTGAAAAGTCCAGTCTGCAAAAAACCTTGAATGATCCAGCCTCGCCACTGGCTCCAATCTATGCTACTTTAAAAGAATGGGCTTCACATCAAGAGGAAATCCTCGTCAAAAGTCGCCACTGGCAGCGACTGCTGGAGCAAGCTGCCGCTTGTGATCACCCCCCTGTGAGCTTGACCGAACCTTCTTTTTACCTCTAAGCTCACGAGCCCTCAACCAACAGTGCAACCGCATCGGTCAACGGGAAAACTTCAAACGATGCTCGGGCTGTTATTTACGCCGGTACTGCTCGAAGATATGCCAAAAGAGTGACTGGCGCGACGGCAACCACCGTTTAACATGTGCAGCCTCAAAAGTGGAATACACCAGTTAGTCTTTACCCTCTATCTAGTTCACGTTCTCACCACCACATTTCAGATTTGCACAATATGTTCTCGCGCGCCCAACTTGCGTTTTTCCGCATCACGTTGCACATATTCTACCGCGACAACCTACCCGAGTTTCACTGCTTGGGGAGTTTTAGCCGTGTTGAAACCGTGAAGACACTCTCCCGTGCGGGTGCCGACCCACGACCTGTTATGCTCACGATAGTAAACTACCGGGAGGGCTTGCCCAAGATCAACCAAATTATAATCAAACCCACGACCGAGTTAAGCGATGCTTTGCGGGACGAGCTGCTCCGCGACATCCCCACACTGGACGACTGGATCGACCGCGCCCGGCGGAGTAACGGGCGGATGGTGCTCCACATCATGATCGTCCCAGTCGGGATTTACAAGTACACCCTCGTCGTCCCGTTGCGAATGACCATGTCTTTTTTGGAGGATGCGGCCCTCCGAGCAGCACGGGCTGTGGGCCCCTTAACCAAGGAAGCAGATTTTATGAAGCTGGTGAAAACATTTGGGGGGAGCTCGCCGCCTCGGGGGACACTGGGAGTGATTCACCAGTAGAGATGTAAGGACTGAATCCGACCGATTGATAACTGTACTAGTACTCAGTGCACAGAAAGTTTGATCTTGGATCGCTGAATGTTAATTGCGTTTTTTAAAGTTGCACCAAGACATTGTTGCTTTAGACAGATGGAGCCCTGGCCAGGAAGTCCAAAGCGCTCGAACGAGGATAAAGCAGACATTCGGCACGACAAGTAACAGTCGCTCGGAGGTGAAGACGGTCAGAGGTAGTCAAAACAAGTCGTTGTTGTTAATGGGTCGTAACTACTAAGGTACACATGAGATATTGGATGAAACGGACGAAACGGACGTGTAAAAGCTCTTCGTCGATCATGTATTCGACCCCAGTGAATGCACTACTCCCAGAACTGGAAGAAGGGCCGGAATTGCACCGTCAAGTCGACACACGCCATGTTATCCTCCTCAACAGTGAAGCCCCTCACGCTGATAACGTATTTCACTACGACGAATTAGGCCAAGGAAGAACTGAATTGAGATGACGACGCACGTTTGGGCACCTCCTTGGGCAGAGTGACTGTTTGCTCGATGGTGTGGAGGCCCGGCTCCACGGGACAAGAGATGGAGGCATTCGCTTTGCGGCTGGGGGAAGCGAATGAGTCAGTGGCCTGTGGCAGGTGGGACGACATGACGCACGCCTCCTCGCAAAGGTCGAAGCTCTGTTCTAGCAGCTTGATACGGCCGACCTTGACCAGCACATCTGCCGTCGCGCCCTCCTGAGAACACGCGAAGTCAGCGGCAGAGCACGAGGCGGAGCAGCCCACACACCTCGATGGTCTCCTTCACGTCGGCAACGATGGTGACGGTCAAGTCGGACCCAATCTTCGGCGGGTCCGGTGAGACGGTGATTGACTTTATTTGGACCGCATCCGAGTCCTCTCCTGCAAGAACACCATGAGAAAAAGGTCCGTCTCTCTCTTATCGCGTACCGCAGTCCTTGTATTCCCAGCTGTCTGGAGCAGTCCGGACATTACCGAGAGCCTGTTGGGACTCTGGTAAGGCCACAGCAAACGCCGCAAGGCTGGCAAAGAGCAGAGCAGCGAGGGAGCGTCGTAACATCGTGGTCGAGAGGAGGAAGTGACGTCGGTCATTCGAGAAGGCTTGGAAAGGAAGGTGATCAGGTGATGCTCCCGAATACTCTGCGGCGCTGATATTTTACCTTTGTTGGTGTGTCTGCTTAAGCCTTACTGGTATTGTGCTTATTGAAGCACCTGAATAGTGCGAAATGACAGGCTCCAAGCTTCAAGTTCCGAAGTGGTCTCTTGGTGGCTAATAGCTCATTTTATTAAGTATCTATCGGCCTACTCTCAAATCCTTGCTGGTTTCGAGGTAATGTCTGCCGCTTATAATTCTGCTCGACGAATGACTCTCGTTTAAATTATCCACTTTATGCCAGATCGAAGCGGACTGCAGGAACATGTACCTCCATGCCGTCCCTTCTTCTTGGTTTTCGCCGTGATGCAGACGAACCTCCCTCTACTAGTACTATCACAGCGTATGAAAGGGCGTGATTCGAAAAGCGGAACGCGCGTTGGCGCGAAACAGGAGTGAGGCTCTGGAAGAGTCAAAACGCCTAACATGAAGCTTGTTGGTCCGGAAGGTGTAGTCGAAAGGGAGCGGAACTCATGCTACTAAGTACTAGTATCAGCACGACGAGGAAGCAGGGATAGTGTTTTCACGCACTGATATCGCACAGAATGTACGCTGCCGGCCACAAACGGCCTCTGGTATAATACGTATTGACGAGGGCGGCTTAGTTAACACAGTGAAAGTGCATGGGTCGTGTGGTTATGCTTATTCGGCCGATATAGAAGGACATGAGTGAACTTGAAGGTGAGAGGGGAAAGGTGGTTTCGGGGCTGGAATGAATATCACTGACGATCCTCACGAAAAGGCAAAAACGCACAGATTTGGCTCCTTGTATTGTACCACTTCCGGTAGGAACAGTCGAGTTCGGGACAGCCGAGAGCTGGCATACGTTTCTGGGTCAAAAAGACAAGCTGGAAGCAGTGTCCAGCGATAACACAAATAGTTTCGGGCGAATTCGAGTCGGGCCAACTCCAAACGACTGCGGCGGGTGTAAAAAGACCCCCAATCTGCTCTTCAGCCTGTCTAAGCCAAGTATGAGGCCGACTTCGTTGTGCTTGGAATGACTGACGCACCGAGCAAACTCGCCAAAAGGAAGAAGCAGCCGTTTGGAAGCTACTCTTCTGCAAGTTCTCCTCGCCTCAGCAATGCCACCCCTCATCCTAATCCTCCCATTCCAACGCATGTTGTATCTTGGGCGTGCCTTCGGCTGTCGAGTTGAGGCGGGGAGTAGTAGTGGTCGTTGAGGAGAGGAAGAACAAGTGTGACAGGTGCTTGTCCGGGTTGCCTCTGGCCAGCACGGGTGATGCATCCCCTCACAATTTTTCACCTGAAACGACTCAATGAGACTCCGAATCCACACAGAGCATGCGACGGGGCATACCCTTTTGGACCCGACTTACAATCTTTCAGGAAATCGCGCTCGCCGCAAGCCGACCCGACTGTTCTGACGCTACCTACAAGCAATTCGCTTTTGCTTGGACAACCGCAAACGAACGCTCGAGCCCATATCTATTCTCCGTCTTCTTTGCTCTCCTAGACCCCACACGCATACCGCAGGCTTCTGAACTCGAAACCCTCTCCTCGACATCGAAAATAGGTATTGGGCGGATATTAGCGATTCTGCGGCCATTACTTTCGGCCTCGCGTCCGCTACCAAGCGAAGCCGCGCAACTCTGTCCTTTCATTGTTCGTTGGGTGGCGTTCATCCACGACTTTTACGACTTCTTGGTGGCGGACGAGGGCATCGATACCGAACACGGGCTTTCTCCACCTGAACTGCTTGTTGCATTCATGCAGTTCAGCCGCACTATTGAGGACAAGTGGGTACGGGAGAACGAAGACCAGCGCCGTGCCGCGAAAGAACACAAAGCCGCCCCTAGTGATTTGCTCTGGGCCACGCCCGGCTTTCTTGCTCTGCTCATCCGCGCGTGGACTTTCGCAATTTCCCTGCCTCAACCGGATGTCAATCTACTCCGCGATTGCCTGTGTTTGCTCCCTCCCACTCTTGTCGGCGCTCAATTTGACGAGCTGATCAATGCTGCGGGCGGAAACCTCGACCGTCTCATTCTGCTGGTCAAGCGCCACTGGAGGAAGACAGAATCCGTTCCGCTCCACCAGCGCGGAGAGTTTCTTCTTGGGCCCGTGACCTCTTTTCCATTCTATCTCATAAACCGTGTACACGACTTCCTTGCAGCTGAGGACCCGCTGACCACGGTCGTTCCTGACACCCTGCTGAACCATCATATATTCACGGAGTTGCGCCAGATTCTAGCCACCGCAGTCGATCCACAGAATCCCGCCTGCCAACCGCGCCACTGGAGCAACCCATACTGGTTTTCGCTCCTTTCCCAGGTCGTCGATTTAACCAATATGCTCATACACACGCCGGGGGGGCCGCGAGCTTTGCGCATGGCACTCCGCTACGATATGCTTCCGCTTCTGCTCGAAACTGCCCGTTTTCTGCCCAACAAAGGGCTTTTAGACCTTCTCACAGAGCTGATCGAAGTCGAGTTGTCCCGCGGTCTCCTTTACACGTCCACGCTCCCTCACATTACCGCGGCAATCGATCTTATCGAAGATTCCTCGTTGGCCAAACTTTTGAATGACCCGCAGGCGCCCCTTTTTGTCTGTTGGGACAAGCTCAAACAAGACGCTCGTTCGCAAAATCAGATCCTCCTCGCCTTGAAAGAAAATAGTGTACATGCCAATGTCCAACTCTGTGCATGCGACAATCCACACGTACGTCCATATTATATTAATCTTGGAGCTTCAAGGATTCCAATTCAACTTCATACAGTGTGGTCGTATCGTAGAAAGGATCAATTTTCGCCAATGTTCTGGCTGCCATTCACGATTATATTGCTCGAAAACATGTCAGAAGACCGATTGGGGCGAAGGAAACCATCGAAATACCTGCACCACCGCCATGAACGACCGCATAGGTCAGCATGATCATATTTCCTCTCCACGTCCGGGCCTGACAAGCTGCTGTCCAGAAACTCGCAAATTGTTCTCGAAACTGCAACTCGCCTTCTTTCGCCTCACGTTACACACCCTCTATAAGCACAACACGATTCAATTCCACACTTACGGTTTAACACGTTGCCTGGAGGTCGTCACTCACTGGCAGCAGCCAGCCACCGACAACACAGACCCCCGATTGGCCCGCGTTTCGTTCGCAGTGGCTGACTTTGAATACGGTGTCCCCCGCGCCAGCGAAGTTCAGCTGGACTCTGCACTGAGTCCTGGCATTGGCAAGCCCGGGCATCTGCTAAGAAAAGCACCGACACTGGATGACTGGGTCGACCGTGCCCGCCGCAGCAACGGGAGAATGGCTCTCCACATAATGGTGGTGCCCTGGGGCCTCTATAAGCACATTTTAGTCTTCCCGGTCCGAATGAACATGTCATTTGTGGACGACAGCATCTGGCGAGTGGCGCATGATTCGGGTGGGTGGATCGAGGAGGAGTCAGTCCGTTTCAAGCGGTTAGCGAGCGCATTGGAGGCGATTGAGCCTCCCACGAGATATTTGGCCATTCATCAATAGCATTGTCAACAAACATAGCTTAGGTACATGTAGTGCCTTTCGGCTATATCCATTGATTTTGCCACATAACTACCAGTGTCCAGAGAGTGCCGAGATGGTAGTTTTCGACTTTTGGGTTCATCGGCGCACAGTCGTCTGCGGCGCTGGAATGACCAGAGAGGACGTGAAAGAGAAATCGCTGGTGAAGGGCCAAAAACATGGTACGGTGGTGTCTTGGGTTTATTGACGAAGAGGCGATTGGGAGTTTTTTGGGGGAAATGGTGGGCCGTGGCTTGTCGGTGGGAAGGGTACATGGTAGGCACTTTCTTCAAGAAGCAAACGGATATGGTACTCGCTCCAGCGCGTCAGCCCTGAGCTTGAGGCGAACGGATGGTATGGAATGCTTATGACTGAAGAAGACGAGAATTGTACTATGCATATAGTGAGCAAAAACGAGGGATAGCAGTGGTGGCTTTTGACGCACCTGGTACTCAGACACGATGTCGAGAGCGACATTTTCTCTCTCTCTCGTCAGAAGAGGGCTCGTCTGCGTGAGCCCATGGGGATACTGTAGCCTTCACAACGCGGACATGGAGCTTGTGCCGGTCTCCTTCTAGTGTGGGCCACACAGACGGAGTTAGCCAGCTGTACATCGGCGAAAGGGAGCCTCTCACTGGACTTCCACCAGAAACCTAGCTGCAAAGCCCTCCACAGCGTCTGCTGATCCTTTCTCCTGGTAGAAACGCCGGAACGTCACGATGTTTGCGCAAGACAAGGAGCTTGCAGCCACTGGTGTCCTTAGCGAAGCGGGGAAGTCAGTAAAGTTGGGCGTCAGAGGTCAAGGGTTGCTCACGGGGGCTTGAACTACAGTAGAGTGTGGTGTCACCAAGTTCAATGCTCTACTCCATCCATCGAAGACCGGGGAGGCGCGTCGTAGATCACACCGGTACACGGGGTTTTTTTTAAAAAAGCCTTCTCATTACCAGTGTTAATGTTTTTAAAAAATGCCTCTAATTTATGCCCCTGCCAAAAGGCAGGTTTTACATAGGGAAATGAGAGATCAAAAAAAGGTTTAAAAGGTTGAAAAGCCTTGTCAGGGTGGGCAGTGTGGTAGCTATAAGGCCCCAGACCTGACGTGTGGAAAATTCCTTAAGTATGGGGAAAATACTGAGTAGGGGAAAGGCTAAAAAAGATGAAAAAAATTGTTGATGCCAAGGTGCCAAGAAAGATACGGAGTTTGACAGCGTGGATTTTATTAAAATGAGGGGAAGACTTGTAAATCACTGATGTTTTTTAAAAATGTTAATATTCTAATTACAAGGGATCTTTTTAAAAAAAACCCCGTATACGCCTGTAGATCAAGCATGGTAGTCGAAGAAGAAGGAAGGATTCTGTGATTCGGCTGTGACAGCGATCGCATTCCACATGCATCCTCTCACTCTCCAAGAAACGCAGCGTCTAG